GCAGAAGCTCCCCAGCAGGGTTTAGGGGTCCCAGGTCCACAGTGGCAATACTAGTAGGGAGGTATGCGATACCAGGGATTGAACTTAGGGTCTCACACAGACACTCCACGCCTTTGAGCTATTTCCTGGACTACTGAGTGAGGAATTTTCTAAGCTTCGATGCAGCCAAATCACTTGCCATTCAACTGCAGAAAAAAACTAAAAAGAATACTATTTAACTACATTTAAAAAAATAAAACACCAGGAGATATTTTCAGGAGAAAAAAAAATTGTATAATCAAGTAGAAAAGTATATTAGAATAAGTTTTTCTCAGTTTATCACTTCTGTAGTTATCCAAATATGCTAAGAAGACAGCTATTTCAGAGCAGAAAGATTAAAACTTAGGATGATGTAATGTCACTAAGATGTAGGTTTTATTAAGTGCTTTATATTTTTTACACAGAAACTCGAAACATGTCACAGAGACCATTTGGTGCCTGGTTTTATCCTAAGAGCTTGAACTTAAACAAAATCTTAATAATAGTTTAAAAGGTCATTTCATTCTTCCTGAAAGAGCACTAGCACTGCAAATGCTATTTTCTTATTGGAATGTAGTATCAAGTCATGAGAGGAGTTACCTACAACACTCCAGAATATTTCTGCATTCCTATAAACCAGTTTCACTAAGTTTATGCTCACACCCTACTAAGCTTAAGCTTACCCAAGCACAGATGCTTATTCAGACTGAGTGCTGCTATCCATATTTGACTAACTGTAGTAACCACTGAAACTTATTTTTAAAATTAAGAAATCAAAGACATGCTGAAAATGGACACCCCTCTCCAAGAGAATGTCTATTTGAAAATGCATTATACAAGTTCAATTAAAAATAATAATACTAAGTATGATTTTAAAAAAAAATAAAAAGGGGCTGGAGAGATAGCACAGTGGGAAGGGCGTTTGCCTTGCATGAGGCTGACCCGGGCTCAATTCCCAGCATTCCATATGATCCCCTGAGCACCACCAGGAGTAATTATTAAGTGTATGAGCCAGGAGTAACCACTGTATAATACCAGATATGACACAAAAAGCAAAAAAAGAAAAGAAAGAAAAGGCATTATATGTCTCTATCACTGGGGCCAGAGAGACAGTACATTAGGTAGGGCACTTACCTTGTTTGTGAGCAATAACCAATGTTTGATCTACAGCATCCCAAATGGTCCCCCAAGCACCTCCAGGAGTAATTCCTGAGTGCAGAGTCAAGAGTAACCCCTGAGTATCGCTGGGTGTGGCTCAACCACAAGCCCCCCCCCCAAAAAAAAAAACTCTAACACTGCCCCTGGATCATTAAAGTTATCAATTTGTTTAGTAATATTTTGAAATTAAATTGGATTTTTTAAAAAGCAAACCTTTCTTTATAAAAGAAATCATTTTAGCCACATTTCTTTTTACAAAGCAATAGAAACTACTTTTTTTTTTTAAAAAAAATGATTTCCTCCTAGATGATTCACTTAGAATTTATCAGAGATAAAGTTCAAATTAAAAATTGGGGAAGAGGGGTGAAGCAAAAGAAGAGTGGGTAGGACAGTCACCTCACATGCAGCTAACTGGAATTGATCCCCAACATCCCATATGGTCCCTCAAGCCTGCCAGGAGTGCAGAGCCTGGAGCAACACCAGGTGTGTTTCAAAGTCCAAAAAAATTTTTATTTTAAATTTTAGGCACCATGATTTACAATACTGTTAATGATAGGGTTTTATACATACAAAGTTCTAACACCACACCTGTGCCAGAGTTGAACTTTTATGAAAGAAATGACAATTACAAATGAGTATGAATGGCTGAAATGAATCAAAGCTTTTATTTTTATGTTTTATGTTTTGGGTTTGGGGTCACACCCAGCACATTCAGATGTTATTTTTCTGGTCTGTGCTCAGAAGAGACCCTGGCAGTGCTCAGGGGGAACCACATGTGGTGCCAGGAATTCAAGCTGGGGTCCGCAGGACACAAGGCAAGAGCCTAAATCCCTGTAATATCTCTGGCCTAGCAAAGATCCGTTGTTTTTAAACACTCCGCCTACCAATAGAGTTGCTTATATATGTATCTAAAGATACATAACTATAGATGAGCTTCCATGTCTGCTGGTTACCTTTTTGATCTTAGAAAACAATTCAATGAACTTTTTATTTTTTTAATTTATTGTCCTGGTTATCAGATAACTCAGAGATAATGCTAGCACTCAACTGGCAAATCCCTATGCGTAATTGCTTTGCTATTTATTGGTATCACTTCTAAACTTAGTTTAATTTTCCAGATGTTTTGAAACTGTCAGCCCTCAACATTTGCGGGGGAGGAAGCTAGAGGTACAATTAAAATATATTTTAGTAAGTAAGATAGTTCCCTTGTGAAAGCCCTTCCATCAGTAACAATGTATTGAACATTTACTACCTGCAGGGCCTTCTTCCAGCCTTGAGGCTATCTGGTAAAACAGGGTCACTGGTCTCATATAAGGTGGGAGAGTTGGAGGAGAAGAGTTGTCTGCTGATCAGGCAGGAGAGGAATCAGGGGAGAAATGGGTTCACTATTATGAAGTGTGACAAGGACTATGTTCCCTGGAGGAAAACAAAGTAGGAAATCCATGGTGTGAAGAAATCAGGAGAAAGGAGAGAATGTTGTGACGTAGGTCTTTAGGCCAGGGCCCGTCAATCAGGGGGGCTTGCAGGCTGTGATGCAATCGCGGGTGACCCCCGGAATAGTCTGGGGCGGGGTGCAGCCTGAGCTAAGCATGAGGGATAAGAGCAACTTGAATTTTGCTAAGTTCAGTCTAGCACTGGGGTTAGGAGTTGGCTGCAACAAGGGAGGGTGAGTGTGAAAATGTTCCTGTGGATTTGTCAGACAGAAAGACAGACAGACTGACAGACAGACATAGGATATGTAGGAAGGCGATCTGACGGGATCCACTGGCCAGTTGGCTGCAGAGTGTGAGGAAGGCAGAAACATGCAGAATAGTGCTCAGGTTTCTCGATGAAGAAACTGGGAGGTCATTGTTGGTGCCATTTGCTCTGCTCCAGGGATCCTGTTTTATGGAGCAGCATCCCCAGGACTGGGATTTGAAATATTAAGTAAGTGTCATGCCTGGTAATTTTTCAATCACTCGCAATCTGTGGAAACTCAGCCACCTCTAGGCTATAGGATAGAAGCGGCTAGTTTTCCAACCCACATAGAGCTGATGATCTAAAACTGATTTTCAGGGTCAGAGAGATAGTACAGAGGATGAGTTGCTTGTCTTGCACACAGCTGACTTGGAACTGATTCCTGACAGGAGTGATCCCAAAGTTGAGAACCAGGAGTAAGCTCTCAGCATCTACCCTCCACTCCAAAATAGTGGTTTTCAACCTTTTTATACCTGAAGACCAGAACAGAACTATGAACCAGCATTTGGAAATCTGTGATTTAGAAGAAAGAAAAGGGCTTTATCTCTGCTGTCTCTGTTCGTCTGTCTCTTTCTCTTTACTCTCTCCCTCTCTCCCTTCTCATCTTTACCTACATAAAACCATTTTACTTATTAAAAAACAAAAAAATTCCATATAAAAGTTGAACCATGCAACTTAACCTGTGTGTATTTCCATATAAATATGGGGATGTTTATAATCAAAACATATATTATAAAAAATAAAAGGAGAGAAAGAAGGAGAAGGGCGATGTTAAGTTACATTGAACACGCTCCACGCAGAGATGAATTCTGATTGTTTCATGTTTCAGGCGTTTCATGGACACCCACCATTTCAGGCAGACCCAACACTGCAGGTGGTTGTGAGACACAGTGAAGATGGGTGGACAGATCTGGCACAGGGTCTCAAGTGAAAAGGGGTGGGGGGCTGCTGATAGAAGGGGGATAATGAATGGCTGGCTCTAATTAGAGTATGATGTCAATGCAGACAGTCGTTCAGAACTGATAACAGAGAGTCTTAAATATCTAACCAAAAAGGCTTTAAACCCCCCTTCTAAGAAATGGGGATATTTGGGGCCTGGGAAGATTGCTCAAAAGGGTGAAGAGCATGCCTTGCACATCATGAATCTGACCCCCCAGAACTGCCAGGTTGGGCCCAACATTACCCGGCCAAAGAGGCATCACATCCAACCTATCATCCTTATCACATCCAAGCACCTCTTTGGATGCTCTCTCCACCTCCTCCAAAGAGAAACAGGGACCTGTCAAAGAGCGCTGAGCAGGCGATGGGGCAGTCAGAAAGAAATAATTTTCTGAGCCTTAGGTGCTTCCTCTGCAAAAGGGTACTAGTTCTACCAGCCTTATCTCACTGTAGCGTGCAAGGTCCAGGCACTTGGCTGTGGGGCAGCGTTACCCTGAGTAAGGCTTCCTGCTCGCACACAGAGCAGCTGTTTCTGGTTCCTTCAGAAGAATGTGTGTCTCCGTAAACACCTGACATGTGATATTTCATCTCTGTGGCAGGGGCCAGATGGGAAATCTGAGATGCAAAATGAACGTTTCAAAACAGAACATATTTTAAATTCTCTTGTAGCAGTCAAATCAGATCTGTATTTTATTTCATTTCATTTTGTTTAGCATGAAATAGGATGGCAAGAAAGGAACAGCTGCTGGAAACAAAGACAGAGAAGGGTGATAAACAGCAGATTGTCTGACCCTCACATCAAATATTCAGCCAAGAATGTGTGTGTGTGTGTGTGTGTGTGTGTGTGTGTGTGTGTGTGTGTGCACGCACGCATGCATGTGAGTCTGAGTCTCCATGTGGTGTGTTTGTCTTTGCCAGTGTAGTTTGATGCAAATGCATCTACATGTTGGGGAAGAGTTGAAAGGGGGACAAAGAGAAAAGACCTCCAGCCACGTAGCTGGTCTGTTTATGCTCCTCTCACCATATGGTGTAAGAAAAAAGCAAGCTGGAGTCAGAGATCCTAAGTCACTGCCAAGACTAGTAAAATATCCTCACACGGTGACACCAAACCTTTACCCAGAGAAATCTTTGCCAACCAGGAGCCTTACCTGGCCGAGCTGTCCCGGGAACGCCGAAGCCATCTCGCCACCATTTGTTCGATTCGGTGTGATTTTCGTGTCTGTAGTAAACTGCTCTCCAGCTCTTCCATTTACCTAAAAGGAAGACAATGGTTTTCTTTCTTCTTTCCTTCCTTCCTTTCTTCCTTCCTTCCTCCCTCCCTCCTTCCCTTTCCTTTCCCCTTCCTCCCTTCCTCCCTTCCTTCCCTTTCCCCTTCCTCCCTTCCTTCCCTTCCCTTCCTTCCTTCCTTCCTTCCTTCCTTCCTCCCTCCCTCCCTCCCTCCCTCCTTCTTAAAAGAAGACAGCCAAAGTATTTTGAAGAGGACCCTGAAAAATTGCTCAGATGCTTTCTGTACTTGCCCAGAAGCTGATCAAATGCCTAAGACTCACTTTAGTTCTGAAATGGACATAAACACATGCCCCACGGCCAGAGTGAACGGCATTAGCTCTCCTCCATCCTAAGGCAGCACTTCTCAACACGGGCATATGCCCCACCAACACCCCAGGGGGTCACAGGTGGAAGTCACATAGAAGGTGGGGTCATGGCATGAGATAGGGGGTCCAACCGATAGTATGGGGAGGAAGCCAAAGGAAAGAAAGCAGGTTGAAAAGGAGCCAGGGACGGAAACAGATTGAGAAACACTCTCCTAAGAAGTCGACTGTCTTGTGGTAAGCAGATTGGCTTAATATCTGATATGGCTAAGGAATAGGGAAGGAAACAGAAGAGGTTTCTCAAATGGGGATGGGGATGCACAGTCCAAAGACACCTTACTGTGTCATACTCGCCAGTGCTGCCCACCTCAGCAAGCACCTTGGGACAGTACAGCGCAGGCATGGCATGCACTAGGCACGTGCCATTACTCTGTGTGGCTCAGTACTGCTTCTTTGCACTGCATTCTATATTTCCGAATGGGCCATTCACTGGTATAATTCAAACACCAGACTGTAAGAAAGACAGTCGCTATGCATTTAAAAATATGGGGGCTGGAGGGATAGCGCAGCAGGTAGGTCACTTGCCTTGCATGTGGTTGACCTGGGGTTCGATCCCCAGCACCCCATAAGGTCCCCCTGATCCCTGCCAGGAGTGACCCCTGAGCACAGATCCAGGAGTAAGCCTTGAGCACCGCTGGGTGTGGCCCCAAACAAATAAAGAAGTTATCAGATTTGTGTATTGATAGATATTACCAATTTACAGGTTACCAAGTAGAAGTCTGTACTTGAGACAAAGGTTTCCTAAACCAACATTATTGATAATTTTCTAGCGGGTAGGGCATTTGTCTTGCACACAGCTGACCCAGGTTTGATTTCTCCATCCCTCTCGGAGAGCCCAGCAAACTACCAAGAGTATTCAGCCCGCATGGCAAAGCCTGGTAAGCTACCTGTGACGTATTCGATGTTCCAAAACAATAACAAGTCTCACAATGTAGATGTTACTGGTGCCCACTCAAGCAAATTGATGAACAATAGGAGGACAGTGACAGTGACGGTTTACTTTGCTTTTAGAAATACAGGCTTAGGGGTTAAGGGCTAAGGAGACAGCTCAGTGGTAGAGCATATGCTGGCATGTGCAAAGACCCGAGTTTGATTCTCAGCGCTGCACCACCAGATGTGATCCCAGAGGCCCCTGAACATTGCACAACAGGTCAGCTGAGGAAACAGGCCTGCAGGGCTGAGCATCACTGGGATGCTCCAGGGACCCTAAGAATTGCTTGGAGGCCTATAAAAAAACAGCTGTGATCTCAACTCACCAATTCAGTTTCACAACCTAAAATATGATGACACAAAACAAAACCTGACATGAGGAAAGAAATATGGACACAGAAATTGTGAAAAAGATGGACAGGTGGGAGAAATGGGTAAAGGGAATCAAAAGGTACAAATGTTCAATTATAAAATAAATAAGTCAGAGGTGCGAATTTACAGGCTGGGAACAACAATTTATCATATTGTATAGGCATGTTTGAAAATTGCTAAGAGCATAGATCTTAAAGTTTTCATCACAAGAAAACACTGCACTACATATGTGATGGTACTAGACTTAGTGACTTATTGATTAGATTTATTGGAACAACAATTTTGCAATATATACAGATTTTGAGTCATTGTTTGGTATACCTAAAATTAATATCATCTTACATGACAATTCTTTTGTTTGATTTTGGTTTTGCTTTTGTTTTAGGTCACACCTGGCAATGCTCTGGAATTACTTCTGGCTCTGCACTCAGGAATTACTCCTAGTGGTGCTGGGGACCACGTGGGATGCTGGAGATGAAACTCGGGTTGGCCGCATGCAAGGCAAACTCCCCATCCACTGCACTATGGCTCTGGCCCCTGCCAATTCTACTTTTAAAAAAATTATAAGAGATCATGTTGCTTACCACTACACAAACATGTTTGAAGATCTTGATGATATGGATGTTTTTCAAGGAAAATATAAACGATATAAGATGACCCAGAAGAGACAGAAAATCTAAAAAGAAGAATGCCATAAAAGAGAAGTCGTTAAAGTGCTACCTACGCACGCCCCAAAGTCCTAGATATAGAGAGCTGAAATGTGAATTCTCACATCTATAAAATGTAGTGCACCCATTAATGTTTTATTTTGGAATAACTGTAGATGTGGGAAAGGATACAGAGATAACAGAGAGCTCCATAGATGCTTCATTCCATTTTCCCTAATGTTAACACCTTACATAATCATTATACTTTTCTCAAAACTGTGAAGCAACCAAATTAAATCCAGCTCGCGTCAAGGATATGATTTTTCCACTGGGGACATCAGGCCTGACACTGTCTTCAGTCCCAGGAATCTCAAATTTTTAGCATTATAAAAGCAACAGAGTTTCATTCCAGTAAACCATGACAAACCTGAACCTTTTCTTAAAACGTATAAATTATAGCAAGTGAAAAAGGGAATGCACTCATGAGAGAAAGAAACCAAATTCCTGAAGGAAAATAGTTTTCAACTTAGAATTCTACAGCCAGTCAAAATATCAGTCAAGTAGTAAAGACATTATCATTGTCTGGATTGAAAAAACAAAAACAAAAACACAAGAAACGGAGGAGAGGGTACATATCTGGCTGTGTTCATGGTTTACTCTTGGCTCTGTGCTCAGGGATTACTCCTGGTGTGTTCAGGTATTTGGTGCTAGTGATCAAACCAGATGGGCTACATACAAGGCAAAAGGCAAGCACCTTATCCTCTGTACTATCTCTCTGGCCCCTGGTCTGCCAGTCTATTTTTTTTTTCTGTCTGTTCGGGGGAAACACCAGCAGAGCTCAAGGCTTACATCTGTCTCTGTGTTCAGGGATAATTTCTGGCAGGCTTTGGGAAACTCTCCAGCCCCTGGGCCGCAATTTTGTTTTTATCTTTTTATTTCTAATTTTTCATTTCATTTCATTTCATTTCATTTCATCATCCTGTTAATCGTCGATTGCCTCGAGCAGGCCCCAGTAACGTCTCTTTCATCCTAGCCCTGAGATTATATTCAGGGCTCTTTAGGAGAATGAGACCCATCTAATTTTTATTTACTCATAAATTTTTATTCTTTTTTAATTTTAATTGAGTCACCATGAGATACACAGTTCCAAAGCTATTCACGGTCCTCAATTTTTTTTTAATCTCTCATGTCCTTTCTCAGAATGCTATAAGAGAAGTGTCCCAGCAAAATAAGGAAGAAAGTAAAGAAGAAATGGGATCTAGAAAATTGGGGATGAAACAGATGAGGCAAAGAATGACTATGAAGAGAAGCAAACAAGAGGCTAGGATGTGAAGACAAAGATCTTAGGGAAAAGAAACAACAATGAACAAGTCACTGACATGCTTGTGTAGAAAATTCCCTACTGGGGAGTATGGGAAGAATTAACAATAAGTAGATAAAAAAAAAACTACACAAATGAAAAAACTACACGAATAATTAAATCCCAGAAAAACAAGAGTTGTACAAGGGTCAGAGAAATAGTCCAGGAGCTAAGGCACTTGCCTTGTATGCGGTCAACCTGATTGGCCAGATTCCCAGAACCTCATGAACCACCCGGAATACCTCTGGGAGCAGCCGCTAAATACAGAGCCCCTGAGCACCGCTGGGCGTGGCCCAAATCCCCCACTAGCCCCCAGGAACCCGCAAGTTCTTCAAGAAAAGCAACAAAGTTATAGTTTATTTCTTGGTTTAACAAGAAAGGATATTTATATTGTGATAATAATGTAAACACTGAAAAATGATTTCTTCAACACAGGCGACAGAATGATGGAAGGAGATGGTGAAAGAAGCAGCTATGACAAATAAAAGTAAAATCCTCACCTACCAGAGTAATTATATGTCAACATTAATAATTCATGAAACAGTAATACAAGCATATTTCTCAGAAGTACAAAGAAAGAAAAGGAAACAACTAGGAGATTTGAAAGAAATTGCCTCTAAGAAATGAAATGAAATATTTTGACGATGACTAGGGCAGGAACCATCTATCAAGAGACCTTAGTATTATGCATATTTAACTATTTTAACTTATTTTAATTTAACTTTTAAAACTAAATATGTTTTTAGTAAAATACACAGAAAAATATAATGGAAGTGTAATAAACTATAATCCTACTTCCCAGAGTTACCAATGTAATTTTTCTTTTTCTATGTTTATACATACTATTTGTATTAAAATAAAATATACTTTGGCATTTAATATTTCATGAACATTATTCTGTATAAATGTTTTAATATTTACATAATTATTTTAAATGGCTCTGTAACTTTTTTATATGGCTATATCATAATTTATTCAATAAAATCTATGATTGAATATTTGTTCTGTTTCTAATTCTTCACTATTGTTTTCAACTGCACAAGCCTGCATGTGAGGGGCTGGGTAATGGTTCACTACGAGGTGCCCAGACTAATTTTTGCTACTAAAAAAGCATTATATCACATAATTCCATCCAGAAAAAGAAAGTCATATACAGTGTATGCATTATTTCAAGAATTCAATTTAACCTTCCAGAATTTATCACCATTAACTATTTGGTAGGTATTCACATCAACTTTACCATAAATTTATAGACCCATAATACATATACTAAAATATACAGTCCACAAAAATAGAATTACTCAGTATGTTGCATTTAGTGATGGGAGGGAGTAGACCACACCTTATTGTGCTCATGGCTTACTCCCGGCTCTATGTTCAGGGGACTATATGCAGTGCCAAGCACCTTAACCCCTGAACTATCGCTCAGTCCTGTACTTCAAGTATTTTAGCCTGTGAATATGTCATTGACATATTTTCTTTCATATCAGAGCTCTTTATAGTTTTAATATCAAATTATTTGATGTAGGATATCTGAATATTTTTTCATGTATTATCACTATTTTTGCTCCTTTCATGTTTCTGATTTTTAAAAACATTTAATTAAAATAACATTGAACTATAGCATATAAGTTTCATGCATGTATCATTATAAATCAACATCTGAATACACTAACAGAGTAAATACTTTTTTTACTTTTAGAACACAAATTATAGAGATAGAATCCTCCCCCCATTTTAATTGAGATAACGTGGCTTACAGCCGTTCCCATTCTATCATTTTGTACTGGCAATCCTACTTCCCCACTCCCGCCAATAACTCCACCCTCTTCCACTGAGGCTTCTCCCCCATATAAGCTATGATGAAACATAGTAAGGCAATAAACAAAGGCCCAAAGGCAACAAAATAGAACTGGCCTTCAGCGGGAAACTTACTACAGGAGAGTAATGGGGGGTTATGCTGAGAGGAGGACACTGGGGCAATGGCAGAGGGAAGTGGACACTCTCGGGGAGGGTGTTATGAGGGACTGTGTTATGCATAAAACTCTGTCATTAACAGTAATGTGAACCACAATGTCTAAAATAAAATCTAAAAAATAAAGAAAAAAATTTGAGGAAGAACTGATTTTTTTTTATAAAAAAGACAATTACATAAAAAGGTGGAGGACACAATTGATCAGTAATTCAAAATCCCCAGGGAAGTTCAGGGGAAAATGAAACAGACTGACATAAGATCTAACCTCCCAACAACAGTGTCCTCAGTGGATTCCTGGAGGAAATGGGTATCCTGACTACACAAGGGCCAACAGCAGAATGGACACAGGTCAGGAGCATATTTCTTTCTGCGTCAGTACTGCCTAAGCTTTTCACCTACTTGTATAATTTCATATTCTTCAGTAATTTGTTTTACATATCACAGGATTTTTGTAAGCATGTCAGTCCATGGTGGATGACTTTTCTTAATAACATATATGCTCCCTCTAATTTCATGGTTCTGACTTTCTCTTATTTTAATACTGGAATCTTAGCCTTTTTGTTATTGATTGTTAAACGCTTTTATTTATTTATGGTTTTTGGGTTTTTTTTTTTGTTGTTTTTTTTTTTTTTTGCTTTTGGGCCACACCTGGCAGTGCTCAGGGCTCACTCCTGGCTCTGTGCTCACAGACTGACCACTCAAGGTGGGGCTCAGGGGACCCTATGGGGTGCCAGAGATTGAAAACAGGTTGGCTTTGTGCAAGGCAGGTGTTCAAACTACTGTTATATCATTCCGACCCCGTGAAAGCTCTTTTATAGCAGTGATTAGTTAATGTCTCTTTACCAAGGATATAAAAATCACATGACATTTCTATAAAATATATTATGGAGGATCAAGAATTTTCATTCTCATGTTCTGACAATACAAGTTATTCACAAAGGACAGAAGAATGAATGTCCAGCAAGCCCCAAGGACAGTGTTTGCAAATATCAATGGCCTTGGGAAGGACTTCAATAGGAATGAATCAGCTGGCAATTCTTGAATAGGAACATTAATTTGGTTTGTCTTCATGTCTGAATCTCATAGTTTCATCATCTTCCTCTAGGGGTCTAGTATGGAAGATATGTTAAATCCAAGACAAATGAAGACTCGCTGAAAAATCAGAGTATGTGAAGGCCTATTAACATACTCAGATTTGGAAAGGCCTATGTCAGCATTTCTCAACCAAGAGCTATATGGATCACTATGGGTTCCCAGAATATTTTTAAGCGGCCACAGACTAAAATCAAGTGTGTGTGGGACGGGGAGACAAAAGCATGAGCCTGGGGGTGAACCAGTAGGACAGGGGGAATCACAGGAAGGAAACAAAGTCTGACGGGTGCACAGTGGGCAAAGGGTTGAAGAACACAGACTTATACACTCACACAGTCAGTCAAACTTCACAAAAAGGTGAATAACACACATTTTGTGTGACGCTGGGGTACAGAGTTAGGAATGCAAGGAGCAATGCACAGCGAGGGAGACCCCAGCTCAGGCTCACGGCTTAGTTTCCCAACAATGAAATGAGTTTCCTCGAGAGTGAGCAAGCTCCTGGTTACTGAAGGTGATCGAGGCAGAGGCTGGGTAACTCTGAATGGAAGTGGAAGGCTGCTGCACTCGGAGGATATCAACCCTTCCTGCCAGTCACACAGCCA